TTCTGTGAGATGGGGAGACCCCTGGCCACTACTTATGCTTGGACTCCTGGGGTGATCAGATACTGTCTGCACTGGGCTCGGGAGGCTTTGGAGGTTTGTTAAGCCATCCTGGGCGGGTCTTGGGTTTCTGGGGGAAAGAACCTTTTTGTGTGAAGAGGCTTAGGGCTGGGCTGGGCTGCCAGGGCCTCCTGTCTGCCTCCAAGAAGACAGGAATTCCTGGCATGCCCTGACGCCTTTGTGTGGTGGCCTCTGAATACCACTGCTGGGGACAGTGGCCCCAGCTCAGGGCCCGCGGTGCTCAGCCACGTGGACCTCGGCTGCTCTGGCTCATTTGCTGGGGAGCCGCATGGCCGTTCTCTCTGAAAAGTCCTTTTTCCCTTTACAAAAAAAGGCAATTTGAGGAGTTCTGTGGTAAAAAGTGGTTTGGAGGTAGGGAGCTGTTCTCAGAATTGGGAAGAAAGACCTGGGATCAAGTCTGGTCTCTGACACACGCTGGCTGTGTGACCCTGGGCAGATCACTTACCCCCTCACTGTCCCCAGGCTGGTCTCTGAGACTATTAGTTATATCTACTTCGGTGAATTTACGTAGATGTGGTCCAAAATACACACGTTCACCTGTGTGTGTGCACACACACATGTGCGTGCGCATGTACAGTCTTCTTGAGGGCAGGGAATATTTCATTTGAGTCTTTGTACCCCCGGCTTCTATAGCATAGTGTCTAACACATAGTAGGTGTCTAACAGATAGTAGGAAATGTTTGCTGAGTGATTGGTGGGAGCGGGGCGACTTAGTAAGGGAACCAGGCAGAGGTGAGTCTAGGGACCTCAGCATTGGGGCCACCTCTTTTCCGTGCTGGGGGCCCCTGCACGAACCAGGTTTCCTTTTTCGTGTTTCCCAGGTCACAGAGTCATAGACTGAGATACGGAAGGGACCTCGAGACCTTGAGTCCAGGGGTTCCTAACCATGCAGTGCCATGGACCCCCTTGGCAGTCTGGTAAAGCCTCAGACTCCTCAGGATAATTTTTTAAATATATATATATATATATATATATAATATATATATAAAACAATTCACAGGACACAAAGGAAATCAGTCACATTAAATTGCAATTATCAAGATATTTATAAAACCCCTGGTCTAGTCCAATCCCCTTATTTTATAGAGGAAGAAACCAGCTCAGGGACATTCAGTGATTTACCTGAACAGAGAGTGTCAGAGGCGGATTTGAACACAGGTCCTGGTACTAAGAATCTGTTCTTGTCATCATCAGAAACAGGTACTGATTTCCATTTCTGGATGATGAGCACTATTCCAGACTGGAATGACTGCTTCTGAAGCTAGTGAGCTCCCCATCACTGGAGGTATTCAAGCTGAGGCCTGGGGACCACTTGTTGGGTTCAGTGGTTGCCACAGCCCCTTCCATCTCTCAAACCCAGTGATGGTCTGTAGTGCTCAGCAAGAAGGAGATGATCTTTCTGCTGACCTCTGACCTTGCCAGGCCAAGTCCAGTTCGAGGCCCCGCATTTTAGGAAGGACATGGGCGGATGGGGAGATTTCAGAGCAGGATGGGCCAAAGGACCTGGGATGAGTGGCCTGGAGAAGGCTGCATGAGAAGACGGCCTCCTCAAGTGTTTGAAAGGTTATGTGGAAGGGGCAGTAGGCTTGGGCCCCTTGACCTAAGGTGGCAGAATGAGGAGCAGTGGGTAGAAATTGAAGGGAGAAGACAGGCTTTTGCTTGACGCTAGGACAAGCTTCTTCATCATTAGAGTCACCTAAATGGAATGGGCTGCCTGTGGGTTAGTGAGTTCCCCATCACTGAAGGTCTTCAGTCTGAGGCTAGATGATCACAGGTCAGGAATATGGCAGAGAGAGTGCTCAATGGCTTCAGAGGCCCCTGCCAACTCCACATGCTGTGATTTGGGTCTTAGAGGCTTTCCCTAAAATTGAGAGAGAGAGAGAGAGAGAGAGAGAGAGAGAGAGAGGAAGAAGAAGAAGAAGAGGGGGAGGAGAGAAGAAAGGAGAGAAGGGAGGGAGGGAAGGAGGGAGAAAGAGAGAGAAGAACAAGAAGAAGAAGGAGGAGGAGGAGGAGGAGGATGAGGGGGAGGAGGAGAGAGGGAGAGAGGGAGAGAGAGAGAGAGAGAGAGAGAGAGAGAGAGGAAGAAGAAGAAGAATGGGGGAGGAGGGGGAGGAGAGAGAGGGAAGGAGAGGGAGGAGAGAGTGTGTGAATGCGCCATCAGAGACTTCTGAAACCTGCACTGGGCTTTCTTGCTCTCTCCTGTTCCCTGACTCTCCCCTCTCCTTATTCAGCTCAACGATGCCGGCAGCAGGGACTGGACGGGCTGGTTCTGTCTCAGCCCGGGATACATTGATGGGCTTTGCAGGGCTGGGCGGGGCTGTAAAATGCCAAACTAGATTTCTCTTTGATAGAGAAGGCTTGTTTCTGTTTAATGGTGTGCGTGTGCCACAAGGCGGTTCGGCGGCCCACGGTTGCCATGGAGACCTTTCCAGCGTTGCTGCTAGCTGCGAGATGCACAAGTGAGCCGTCCCGCGCGTTCTGCCCCTCCCCCCATCATACTCAGAATTGCCTCCTGTGATTCTGGAGACTTCGTGAGGCCCTGGAAAGAGCACTGGCTCTGAAGTCAGAGGGCCTGAGTTAGAATCCCCTCCTAGTTATGGTTATTAATGCACCTTAGACAAGTTGGCCTCGGTTTCCTCATCTGTAAAGTGATGGGGGGGGGTCAGACTGGATGGCTTTTGAGGTCCCTTCTGACTTTCAATCTGAAGATCCTAGGATGAAGTCACTTCATCTCTGTGGGCCTCGGTTTCCTCATCTGTAAAATGAGGGGGGTTAGGCTGGCTGCCTCCTAAGGGTGTGGCGTCTTTTAAAGCCCCATTGCCACTTCACCTCCTCTGGGAAGCCTTCCCTGATCTCCGATCAATAATGACTCCTCCCCCCAACCCGACCTCAAATACTACGCCCTACAACCTTCTGCTGCATTTTCCCCATATTATTTTGTATTAAAGAGCTTTGCTATGTGTCACATCCTCCACTGGACCCTAAGCTCTATGACGACAGGTAAACTGTCTTTTAGAAACTTTTATAGGAGAAAATAGTCATACAGTTGTGTGTAATACAATACGAGGCATAACAACGCGCTCCAGGGAATGTTTAGGAGAGATTGTTTTCCACTGTGGCTGGGTGGGGCGGGGCACAGGAATCGAGGAAGGCCACGTGGAGGAGGTGGCAACTTGGCAGATGAACCTGGTGATGTTGCCCCTGTTTTATGTTGGAGAAACTGAGGCTCAGACCCACGTGACCCAAGAGGCCCCTTCTCTGCCTCTCTGCCAGTCATGGGTGTGGAGGACGTTAAGGCTCAGAAGCCTGGGAGCCTGGATGGGGCTGGGCGGGGGCTGGGCAGAGAAAGGAAGGCCAGGCAGGACACTGGATGCATTTTTCAGGGAAATGCTGACAAATGCCTTTCGGCTTCACTTGCAATCTCCTCTGACTCGCGGTTTGATTAGCCAAGAAAGGGGAATGTGCCTGGGCTTCTCCAGAAGCCACAAATGAGGCTTGGTGGGCCCCTGTTAGGGCTCTGCGGGCGGATTGTTCTGGGAAGGGATGAGAAGATTCAGGCCTTCCTGGATACAGCCACAGGATGTGGATGCTGGTGAGGCTGCGGTCCAAAAGGCTGGGAGACAGAATGGAGACGCGGGAGGGGGCGCTGATGGGGAGGGTGACCGAGGAGGAAGGCTCTGGAGGTCGGGGAAGTGACACCTGGTTTCTAGCCTTGTTTCCCCGAGACAAACCGTGAGAAGTTTGCCTGCCTTGGCTGCCCAACCTGACTGTCGGCCCAGCTCATCAGGCCATTTTATGGGTTAAAGTTGTTTTCTGAAATTTGTGTGACCTGTACTAGTCATGTCTTTCCTAATTGGAGTCAGGAAGACCCAAGTTCAAATCCTATCTCAGACACGTACTGACTATATGACTGAGCAAGCCATTTAATGGCTTTCAGCCTCAGTTTCCTCATCTGTAAAATGGGGATGATCATGCCCCTACCTCCCAGGGCCGTTTTGAGGCTCAGACGAGAAGACATATGCCAAACACATTTCAAACCTTGAATCGCTATATGAATTCTAGCTAGCACCAGCATTACCATCATCATCACCACCCCAAGGTCGCAAAGAAAGTATGCAACAGGCCTAGAATTTGAACCCAGAACCTTGGATTCTTAAAAAAAGATATAGATATGTAAAATTACATGTTATTTCTTTAAATATTTCTCAATTACATTTAAATTTTTTACTATTCATTTTTAAAATCCTGAGTTCCAGATTCTCTTCCTCCCGCCAGCCCCTCCCCAACCCCCCAAGAAGACAAGTGAAATCTCAATTATCCCTGTGAAGTCACGACAAAGTTATTTCCGTATTAGCCGTGTTGCAAAAGAAAACACACAAAACCCCCAAGAACAATAAAGCAAAACAAGTTTGCTTCAAACCACGCTGTGAGTCCATCCGCAGAAGCTCAGACTGTAACCCCAGCTTTGGGCCCACTCTATCATGCCAGTCTCCCATGGCTGAGATTGAACTACCTCAGAGATCCAAATGGCGGTGTGGGTCAATAGTACTCTGTGATTGGTCCCTGGAGGGAGTTGGGACTAGCTGTTAGACTATAAGCTGTTTGAGGGCAGGGCCTATTTCATTTCTGTCTTTTTGTCCAAGCACCAAGCATAGTTCCTGACACAATGGGTGCCTAATAAATGCTGATTGTTAAAAATCCCTACTCTACCATATGGGACCTTAGGGAGCTCATTGCCCCTCTGGGCCTCAGCTTCCTCATCTGTAAAAGGAGGGGTTGGACTGGATGACCCCCAGCCCAAGATCTTGGAGTCCTTGATCCCTGTTGTCCTTGAGCTCAGGGCCAGCCAGGCCTCCTTGGCCTGTGCTCCAAGACTCAAGTCGCTCTTCTGAAGACTTCTCTCTCTGCCTCTGCCTTCCTAGGCTTCCTGGCTCTGGAGAAGGCTGCGTGGGAAGAGACTCCCCGTCACCGGCTTTTGCTTCTTCCTGGCCCTGTCCGTGGCTGCCCTCACCAGCTTCTCCCCAGGCCTCCCAGCCCGTGACCCTGGGGGTCCTGTCGAGTCTCCTCACCGGGCTGGCCGACCCCTCAGGGCGATGGAGACTATTCCTTTGGGAAGGCCAGAGGCTCTGAGCTCCAGTCAAGGTCTAAAGCTGGCCCCTGTGGGACCCTGGGAAGGATGGGCCTCCCTGAAGAACTCCAGCTTGGTCTGCAAGGGCGATCGAGGCTCCAGAGGTAGAGTAGGCCACGGTCGTCCCCATCCTGGCAAGTCCAGCAGATACCTGGGCCGGGCCAAGAGGGACACTGGTGGTGACGGTGGCACCACCATTCTGAGAGACTCTGGTGCCCAGAGTCACCTGGACATGGCCAGGAACATTCTTCTGGGGAGGAAGGATGCCAGGGGCCAGAAAGCCAAGGGCCCTTTGGCTTTGAGACGTGTCTGGCGTGATGACCACCTCCCAGAGCTGCCAATCAAGGAAGTCCCTCCTGGTGCCCATCTGGAAGGACCCGCCGTCACTTCCCGCCTTGAGGACTCCAGACCCGGTCAGGGTAGGCCCACCCTGCATGACCCAGACGTTCAGGCAGCTGGGGCTGGGAAGGAGGCCTGGGGTCTGGGGGCCCAGGGCCGGACAGCTAGCTCGTGGCCAGGCTCTGTGGAAGAGCTTCAGGGCTCTATGTGGTGCGATGCTGGGACGGCTGAGGGCCATGCAGAGGCAGGTGAAATCCCACCGTGGTTCACGGCAGATGATGTGTGGAAAATGAGGCTGCTGGCCCGTGGACAGGTGACCGGCAGAGCGAGGGTCCCCGGGCACGGGCAGGTCCTCCGAGTCGGCTTCTCTGTGGAGGAGGTCCAGAATGCCCGATCCCCTGACCTGGGTCAGCTGTGCTCCGAGGGGCTCTGTGGGCTGATCAAACGGCCCAGGGACCTCTATGAGGTCCTTGCCTTCCACCTGGACCGGGTGCTGGGCCTATACCGCAGTTTGCCCGTGGTGGCCCGACATTTTCACAGCCCCCTGCTGCCCTACCGCTTCACTAGGGGAGAGCCCCGTCCCGTGGTCTGGTGGGCCCCGGACATCTGGCACCTGAACGACAGTAACCATGATCAGAATTCCTTTGCCCTGGGATGGCTGCAGTACCAGGCCCTGCTCCGGCTCCGGTGCGGCATGGCCGGCTCCGGGGCTATGCTGGGGGAGGCCCCCTGCCTGGGCGTCCGCCATACTGAGTGGGCCCAGCTAGCCCTCTTCGATTTCCTCCTACAGGTAGGTGGAATGTTTGCGGGGGAGGAGAGACAGAAGGATGATCGGTCATTGACTGGTTTGCTTATTGCTGGCAGGTATTCACGGACCTCTGCTTCTCCAGGAGCGGCTGCTAAGGAAGGGGTCTGCCTGGGGGGAACAGTGACCAGTCTGCCTTTTCCTAAGACCCATTCGGGGCACGGGGTGGGAGAAGGAAGCTGGGAATGGATGTGGGAAGGAAGCAGAGATCGAGATGGGAAAAGAAAGGCCAAAAAAAAGCTCGCTGCCCTCTGGGAGCTCACAGTCTAATGGGGAGATAACATCCATTAGCAGCTTTTCCCAGGAGCAGGATCTCCAGAGCAAGGGAGAATGGGGAGGGGAGAGGAGGACCAAGATGGATGGACGCCCATGGAGGCCTACCAGTCAACGGCCGCCAGGGTCTTCCTTTTCAGTCTCTCAGCCCCGGGGCCCAGTCATAGGTGGAAATACACACTGCATCTCTCTGTTCTGAACAAAACCCCAGTGTCCCCTTCCTCTAGCCACGGTGGCAGACTTCCTACACCCCTGAGGCTGTCTGCTTACAGAATGAGCAGCTCTCCAAACAGGGCTCTGCAGGCAGCCTGTGCCAGGGACTCAGACCTGGGCTCCTGCCACCTCTTTCCTGCTTCTCTCCCTACCCATCAAGCAAAATGCTCTTGCATTGGACAGCTCCATCCTTCCTCGAAAACCCAGGGGCAAGGCTGGCACAAGATTGGTTTCCCTGGAGAGGAAATCAAAAACAGGGCTTTGGCAAGAGGTAGGATAAACTGTATGCATCCTGCAGAAGCATCTCGGAGCATACCCAAAGGGTTTCTGTATAAAAAGCCTTTTGTCTGTTGAGGGAGGTGCTCAGTTCTCTTTGGATAGCATTGCTTGCTCACCTCATGGATGTGTTCTGGGCACTACCCCCTCTTCTTAAGTCCCCACTGTCACCCCAGCTGTAGCTTCCCCCCTCCTTCTGCAGCTGAGTGTAAGACATCTCTGCTGTGTGTTGGCTTTGTAGTGGAGGAGCACAAGGGTCCTGAAGGCACAGGAGGACCCAACACGAGCCGCCATATTGACCCTGTATCAGTCAAGCCCTCATAAATCAACTGTGTGACATGGCGGCCCCAGCCCCAGCACTGTCCTGCACGGCATCCCTAGCATCCTCAAGGAGGAAGCCAATAGTCCCAATGTCCTTTCCCCTGGCTTGCTGGCATGCCTCCTAGACAGCCCATTCTCTCTCCTCCCCATTTAGACCAGAAGCAGCTGGACATATGAATATATCCTCAGTTACTTCTATAACTCTTTGAAGTTTGAAAACACATTATAACTGAGCCTCACAACAACCCTAGGGGGTATTTCCTTATATCTGCGGTACCTTATCTAACAATGGTTGAGTAATTCACTCAATAAGCATTTATTAAGCACCACTTCTGTGCCAAAGATACAGAGCTTAAAAGAAAACAGTCCATGCTTTCATGGAGCTTGGATAGGGTATCCCAAAAGTCTGATGGCAGTTTTCAGCTTGGAGAGTTGGGAACATGCCATATTTCCTGGCAAGGAGTCAATGTATACATAGGTAAGTTAATACGAAGGAATTTTTAGGGGGGAGGGAGTATTAACAACCAGGGGAATCAGAGAGGATCTTGTCCAGGAGGGTGGTGCCTGAGCCATGACTTGACAGAAGGCAGCGATTCCGAGAAGGATGGATGGCGAGGAAGAATGTATTCTGACCATGTGGGGACTGACTCCCAGGCTGTGGAAGTGGGAGGTAGGATGGTGTGAATGCAGAATGGCTGACAGGGAGAGTTTTCAGGAAGGGGAATGGTTTGAAATAAGACTGAAAGGGTAGGTGGGAGCCAGATTGTGGAGGGGTAAGGAAGGCCCTAGATGAGCGGGAGAACATCTGTGAGATGGTGGCCAGGATGGTGAGAGAACTCTGGGAGGAGTCAGACGGCTGAGGTTCAAATCCTCTCAGTACCTGTGTGACCTTGGACAAGTCACAACCCCTCTGGGCTTCAGTCTCCTCATCTCCTAAATGAAAGGCCCAGACTAGGTGGCCTGTGGGGTCCCTTCCAACTCTGCAGCTGAGAAGTGGGGACCTTGAGCCTGGTGAAAGAAAATTTGGCGGGGGCTGGGCGTGGGCGGGGCAGCTGTCTCAAAATCGCGTGAAGGGCTGTCCTGTGAAAGACATTAGCCTGCTCTCCTCGGCTCCAGGTTGCCCAAATGAAAAGCAATGGGTGGGCTTTGCCAGGAGGCAGATTTAGGCATAATATCAGGGGAAACTTGTTAGCAATTAGCTCTCCCAACGTGGGACGGACTGCCTCGGGAGGTCTGTGATGGGAGACTGCTCATCATTGAGTTTTTTCTTCTCAAAGGTGCTGGTTAGCCTAGACCAGGGGGTTTAATCCTTTTTGTGTTATGCCAAGGGTGTCATGGGCCCCTCAGGCAATCCGAGGAGGCCTGCAGACGTCTTCTCAGAATCCTAGTTTTAAATTAATGAAATAAGTTACATATAATTACAAAGGAAATCAATAATAAGGAAATAGTTTAAAAAAATTTTTTTAAGTTCACCTACACCAGTTTAAGAATCCCTGGACTAGGGGCAGCTGGATGGTGCAGTGGGTAGAGCACTGGGAGTCAGGAGGACCTGAGTTTGAATCTTGACCCTGGGCAAGTCACTTAACTCTGCCCCCTCCCCAAAAAAAAGATTCCCTGGACTGGACTGAACTCTAAGAAATCATAGGATGCTAGATTAGGGCTGGAAGCGACCCTAGAGGCCACGGAATTTAACCTCCTCATTTTACAGATGAGTAAGCCAAGGCCCGGGGGAGTTAATTTCCCCAGGGTCACACGGCTAGTAAGTGTCTGAGTCAGGAAGGCTCGAGTCTTCCTGACTCCAAGTCGAGCCACTCTGCCCAAGGCTGCCCATCCAGGTCTGAGACACTGTGATTCAGCAGCAGGTCAGAAAGCTCACAGCATCTTTAGGGAACAGTAAGCATCATCATTATTTATCACATCTGACGGTAATGGTCTAACCCTCACCCGTGAGAAGACAGCAGGACGGCAGATCCAGTTTAGTACATGAGGACCTGACCTCATCAGGTGACTTTCCAGGATATAACTCGGTCTGGGGCCAGGGCTAATGCTTGAGGGTTTGCTCACTGTCTTAGGGGTAACCCCTCCCGTATTAGCATGCCTCAGAGACCCCCCTTCTCTCTCATTCCCATTTAGATTATAAGTAGCTTGAGACATTCCTATAGCAATGGGAAGTTTGCAAATTCACCTACATATATTATTTCATTTGGACCTCACAACAACCCTGACAAGTAGGCATGATATTATTGACCCATTTTAGGGGATAAGTAGACTGAGGCCTAGAGGTGTTAAGTGGTTCACATGTAGCTAGTGTCAGAGACAGGGTTTGAACTCAAGTGATTCTGGATTTGAGTCCAACGTTCTATTCATTATTCCATAATTATGCTGTTTTAGAGATTCTGGTCTGGCAACTTGGTCAGCCAATTCCATGGAACTCTTAATGTGGCTTAGTGGACAGGTCATCAGGCTAGGGCCTGGAAAGCCTGGAGCTCCACAGCTGGTTGTGTGACCTTTGGCATATCAGTGAGCCTCAGTTTCCTCATCTGTCCAATGATACATACTTTGCTTCCCCCTTGAGATTTTTGGGAGGGTCAAATGAGATAGTGTTTGTGTAGTGCTCTGAAGACTGTCAAGTGCTCCATGTATGTAGGAATAGGTCCTGGACCTGGGATTCCATTGGTGTAAGGAAGGGAAAATCCCTTTGCCCGTGCAGGTCAACGTCTTCTCTGCCACTTCTCGTCTTAAGGAGTTGCCTGAGGGCACTGAGAGTTCAGATAACTTGTCTGGAGTATACACCAATAAGTGTCAGCGCTGGGACTGGAACTCAGGTCTTCCTGTGACATTTCCTGCTGCCTCTCATGTAACTTTGTCAGGCTGACCCTGGCGATATAAGAAAAAAGGGAGGGCACTTGCAGCGGCCTCTCTTGGTCATTAGAGGGCATTATGGGAAGCAGCCTAGCCTGGGGGAAAGCATTAAAATTGGAGATTGAGTCAATTTCATGCTTGGCTGCCCATGGACAGAGTTTTCGGTCTCAGCCATGTAGAAAGGAGAGCCACCTCTGGAGACTTACGATGCCTCCGTTCAGAGATAGAAAAATGGAATCTTTCTGCTGTCTTGCCTGTTTGGCTCATGTTCCGCGGCTGGAAATCAGTCTTTTCTAAACAGGATTCATCTTCTCTATTCCCCTCATTCAGATTAAGGATGCTTAGTCTTCTGCCTAGAAAATCATAGCCTGGTGTTTGGGAGATTATGACCATGTTCCCCACTGAGACAGGTGATTTATTATTGGAGCCCGTCGAGAAAAAGAGACGCTTTACAAGGCAGCCGCGGCCATGTTTACCCACCCAGGGATACAGGAACTGGAAAAACCTAACCAGCACATAAAATGAAAGGTGCTCGATTAAAACGCATGTTCTCATTATGGCCTGGGGCGGAAGATTGCCATTAATCTCTATCAGCAGCAGGAGAAGCGGGTGGACCCAGAGTCTGGGAACACTTTGAGGAAATAACCACAGCCAAAAAAAAAAAAGAGTATGAAATTTCAAAAAGAGACCTTTGAGCCTAGTTCCATAGTGCTCCAGGGCTCCAAGGGGCTGACCAATCCAAAGAAGGAGAACGTGGGTAGAGAGCAAATGCGCCTTGGTCAGGGGATGGGCTCATCTCTCCTTCGGCCGCGGCTGCGGAGGAAGAATCCCCAAGCACGCCAGCGCTGGAAGGATTTAGCTCTTGCCAGTGAGTGGGAGCTTTCCTGTCTCCTTCCACCGTGCATCCTGGGAAAAGCAGTTTGTATGCATAAAAATGTGATCGTATAAATGCTTAATTGTCCTAAAGGGAAAAAAGTCTCAGCTCTGTTTAATCTCCCTCCCCAGGGACCTGCATATGAATACCAGCTCTGCCACCCATG